AAGTCACAAAGCAAAGCAAAACCGGGTCTTTTGCTTGGTCTTGCCGGCTGAGAGACAGCAAAAGCGGTAATGGCAGCGCGGCCATTTTAAATATAAAGCTGTCCGGCCTAGGCAGGCATGCCAGAAATGCATCTGACCATGTCGTCTGTATGCACTTGTGGCCGACGTGTGTGCAGAAACCAAGGCCAGCACTGAAGCTCAACGTTAACAATGCCTCAGAGTTGTATGCAAAACATGGCATGTCTCGAATTACAGCGGCACCGCACAAGAATCGCGACTGAACAAACACTCCATCCATCACCTGCTGCCAAATCCGCCGACCCCCCTGCCTGCAAGGGGAAGGCGCTGGGGGAGTGTTCGTTTAGCGTTGGAGCGTGACTGTGGCAGCCTTCTCCCTTCCCTTTCGCCCTCGCCCGTTCAGCCCTGTACCTTACCAGCCTTCTTTCTTTCCCTTTTTTCTTGTTCTTCTTCGTTTCTTTTCTTTCCTTTTCCTTTCTGCTGCCGGCGCACTCCTTTGGTTGGTGCTCGCTGTGGACAAACGAGTGCGGCCTGGAAAAGCGCGGGAAGCGAAGCTTTTGTGGCTGGCCGCTCCCTCTGGACCGATAGCCTTACTGCATATTGGACTCTAACGCGAGCCGCGGCGGAGCAGGCTGCCGGCGCACTCCTTTGGTTCGTGCTCGCTGCGGCGAAGCGAGTGCGGCCTCCAAGCGCGCTGGACGCGAAGCTGTTCTTGCTGGTTGCGCCCTGGGGACCGATAGCTTTCTACTTTCTATATAGGATTCAAAAGTGACGTTCGGCACCCGGCCGCGGCGGAGCAGCCGCCCTTGGCAAGACGCACAGCAAACCCAAAGGGAGAAAGACCAGGGATAGGCAAACTGTGACAGACGCAGGCGCACATGGGCATGGACAGGCCGGGGATTGAACCCGGCCCCTCTCGCAGGCTGAGCGGGTGTGACGCCACTACACCAACTGCCCCTGAGCTGAGGAGGCCGAGAGTGCTCAACTACCTGCTGGGCACAGCTTTCAGCGCTGAAGCTCTGTCACGGCCAGCCCGTGCGGCCTGTTTTCTTCCTATCTGCTGCCGGCGCACTTTTGGTTGGTGCTCGTTGTGGGCAAACGAGTGCGGCCTGGAAAAGCGCTCAAGCACCTGCAGGGCACAGTTTTCAGCGCTGAAGCTCTTTCTTCCTTTCTGCTGCCGGCGCACTCCTTTGGTTTCTTTCCTTTTCCTTTCTGCTGCCGGCGCACTCCTTTGGTTGGTGCTCGCTGTGGACAAACGAGTGCGGCCTGGAAAAGCGCGGGAAGCGAAGCTTTTGTGGCTGGCCGCTCCCTCTGGACCGATAGCCTTACTGCATATTGGACTCAAACGCGACGTTAGGCACCCGGCCGCGGCGGAGCAGGCTGCCGGCGCACTCCTTTGGTTCGTGCTCGCTGCGGCGAAGCGAGTGCGGCCTCCAAGCGCGCTGGACGCGAAGCTGTTCTTGCTGGTTGCGCCCTGGGGACCGATAGCTTTCTACTTTCTATATAGGATTCAAAAGTGACGTTCGGCACCCGGCCGCGGCGGAGCAGCCGCCCTTGGCAAGACGCACAGCAAACTCAAAGGGAGAAAGACCAGGGATAAGCAACCTGTGACAGACGCAGGCGCACATGGGCATGGACAGGCCGGGGATTGAACCCGGCCCCTCTCGCATGCTGAGCGCAATGCCACTACACCAACTGCCCCTGAGCTGAGGAGGCCGCAACTACCTGCTGGGCATAGCTTTCAGCGCTGAAGCTCTGTCACGGCCAGCCCGCTCGGCCTGTTTTCTTCCTATCTGCCTGAACCAGCCAAAAGCCGCTGCCAGACAAAAAAAACCTGGGCTGGCCCCCAGTGGAGGGTCGCACGGGGCGGCAGCCCTTAAATTATTTGCTTGGCTGCGAGAGGGCAGTCAGGGCATTTGCCTATCTTTTGTGCCAAATTGCCCAAGCGGATGGACCCTGGCGTGACAATCACCGCCAGCTTTGCAGGTCCCATGCCCAGGTAGCCTCGGAAAGTGTCCCAATGGAGCGCATATACGCTCCAAAAAAAGAGGCCATACATTCAGTCAGGAACATCCTGATGACCACCATGAACTTGATACATCCAGCATGTCCAAGCGCTTCAAACAATTGAGCAAATCGTTTTGCGCTCACCAAGGCACGCTGCAGCGCAAGGCTTGCCAAAGCCGCAGCCTCACAGCCAAGGGCGGCGAAGCAAAGTAGCAGCGCCGTCCTCAGGTGAAGGATGCGGCAAACTTCAAAAAATTGAGGCTCTCAAAACCAGAGGACTTTGAAGCTGGGTTGTTGCATGTTGTTGCCTTGCAAAGCCTTGTATACTGTATTATCCTAGTGTTTTGCCTGCCCCTCTTGGAAAGCATGGCATACGTTGGCACATCCAACCCAGCCCTTTCGGATGAACGCTGGGTGGCATAGATGTGGCGTTTTGGGGCGAACGCTCCTCCGAAGGCCCGCCGTCAGGAAGGCCATGGCCAAGGCGGCCACTGCACCTGACAGCCGACTGCCTCGCCGTTACGCCGTGTCCAACGATCCGATCTGGTCTTCATTTTACTTTGGGTGCGGATGTATTTTGGGATGTTTTTGTCGTTGTTTTTTTGATTTATTGTTTTTTTGTTTTTTTTTATTTGTTTTTTCGCTTTTTGTCTGGGCCAGTAAACTATCGTATTTTACAGCATTTTCTCGCGAAATTGACGCATTTTACACAAGCCCGCCAACATCCCAGCATCGTTTTCAACATCCCCCGTATGTCCGACCAACATCCCTAGCATCACCAACTAATCGTGGGTAACAAAATCCAAAAAGTAGCTGGCGGGTTGACGGGGTCAAACAAATACCCATGATGTTGTTTGCAGAAGTGATGATTTGAATAGGGGTGCAATTGATTCTCTGCAAAAAGTCTAAAAAGTAGCGGGGGGGTTGAGGGGGGCGGCAGCCCCAATGATGTTCGAAGAATTGATGATTCAACTAGGGGTGCAATTAATTAAATCTCTGTAGAAAATCTGAAACATAGCGGGGGGGCGGCAGCCCCCCCCATGATGTCGGAAGAAGTGATGATTCAGGTAGGGGTGCAATGATTCAAGAAAGGGTACGATAGAATTTAAAAGGCAGCGGGAGGGTTGGCGGGGGTGGCTTCCCCTATGATGCGAAGAAGTACATACATACAGACATACATGGATTACACAGAATACCTAAAATGCCGTATTTTGCAGCATTTTCTCGCGAAATTGGACGCTCGAAAAGTGATGATTGAACTAGGGGTGCAATTCGATCTCTGCAAGATACATCCAAAAAGTAGCCGGGTGGGGGGGGGGGGGGCGGCAGCCCCCCTCATGATGTTGTTTGCAGAAGTGATGATTTGAATAGGGGTGCAATTAAATCTCTGCAAAAAGTCAAAACCCCCCCTGATGTTCGAAGAAGTGATGATTCAAGTAGGGAGGAACTGGTGATGCTGATGATGCGGGAAGCCACATTTAAAAAACAAATGAAAGGGTGCAAAAGCCAAAAAGCCCGGACAGGAACTGGGAAAGCAGAGGATGCAAAAAGCTAAAGCCACCAAAAGCCGCATAAACCAGCGAAAAGCCGCAAAAGCCAAAATGCCACCTGCCCGAAGAGGAACTGGGAATGCAGAGGATGCGAAAGGCCAAAGCCAAGAAGCCGAAAAGCCCAGAAGCTGAGAAGCCAAAAAAGCAAGAAGCCAAGAAGCCGAAAAGCCAAGAAGCCAAGAAGCCAAAAGGTCAAGAAGCCAAGAAGCCAAGAATCCAAGAAGCCAACAAGCCAAGAAGCCAAGAAGCCAAAAGCGGAGAAAAAAAAAAAAAAACCTCCTAAAATAAATACCCCTCCTTTTACTTTTCCCCACCCACAAGTAGCCTGCTCGACCAACCCAACCGATTAAGTGTTTGATCCAACCCAATGCTTGAAGGCGGAGTGCCTGCCAGCCACTGCTCCAAGAGCACGGACAGCTGCAGCGCCTGCCTCGGTCATGCATGGGTTGCCTGTTGCGCCCTCCCTTCAAGCCTCTTCCGTCAGTCCCTACGGTTGTAGCAATGAAATGCTTAATCGCACATGTTGCATTCATTTGGGACATTGGCAGCGACGTCAAAGGACAGGCAAAACTTGAAGCCTCAATTGGACTGTGTTGTGGGTAGCGCTACTACCTGCGCCGCGGAATCGACATATGCGTCATGGACTCGCTAAAACTGAAAAACTGCACGAACTGTATTTAAACGTCACCAGGGCGCACGTCTGACTTCGCCATCGCACACGCGCCTGAGTGCACAAAATTGGCCAGAAGCCCAAGGAACCAGAAATGCTTAAGTTAAACTCTTGCCAGGCAACGTTCGGAGCAGCTGCTCGTGGAGGTCGGGCAAGGAGTGGGCCATCACTGGCTTGAGCCTACTGTAAAGCTGGCAGAAATATGTCGCTCGCCAGGTGGATTCGGAAGCCGAGCCCGGCAATGCATTCACACACCAAGTGCAATCTGCACATTTCTCTGCCAGTGCTCGCCCTGCTCTGAGAAGCTGCAGCGCATGAGTCGACATGCGCTCAGGCACCACCCTAGCGAGCAACTGTCGAGCCAAATATGGCTTGAAAACAAACACCAAGTTGAAGCCCTCGCCAACCTCAGATCAAAAGCATGGAAGGAGCACAAACATATTACCAATTGTTTAACCCGATGTCCAAAGTCCAAGGCCAAACTAGGGCAGCAGGACGTGTCTGCGCACCTAAGCCATCCCGGACGATCTGGCTAAAATGGTGAAATGTCCTGATGTGAAACATCGCTGCTGGCAACTGCTCTGGCCGACAAACAGTTAAACATCTTACCTGCGTGGCGGGATGCCATGGACGTCATCTCTGATCAGAGCAGCGGTGACATTTTCCGTGCATCTTCCAGCAGGCAGGTCGCAGGCTTGCTGATAACGTGGCCCTTGAAAGTGGCCAAAACAACAAACATAATTGCTCTTGCTAGCTGTCCGCATTGCCTGTGCTTTGACCAACCTGCGCTGCAAATTTTGCTGCAGCAATTCTAGCCGGCTCTGCTTCAAGCCAGCTATGGCTAGGCGGTTCTCCTTCATCACTGCCATTGCGGACTTTGCAGATGGCCGGACTTTTCGCACGGCACCCCCCAAGCAGCGCGTGCAACCCGTCCTTGGAGATTCATTGCCTGCTCCGGATTCCTCGTCCTTGGGTTGGCCAATTCTGGCTTTGTTCGTTGATGCGAGAGATGCTGCAGCACCGAGGGTGAATGCAGAAACTATGCACCGTTTTCGCACGTAGGAACCTATACCAATGCAAAGCAAGCATCCGTCTTCATTTGCTTCATGCGCTTCAGTTCCTGCTGCTTCTGTTGCCGCACCTGGTCACACGGGGAGTGGGGTCTGCAGGACTTTCTGCAGTGCGACAGGCTTTCGTTGCTTGAGCTGATTGGAAGCACCCTCCATCAAATGGCTCTAATTGCATAAGCGTTGACCAGGTATCCCACATGCCTGCAGGATCTGAAGGGTGCGGGCGTTGCTGCGCTCCACGTCACGCAAAGCCTTGAGCTGCTTCTCATTCTCCAGCAGCTGCCTGGACACATCCCACTGACATATCTCACAGACGAACTTGTTTCAAGCAACTGTGCCTTCAAAACAATCAAACCACACCCACCTCTTCTCGCGACGCAGCTGCTCCAGCTCATCCTGCTCCGCGGTGGCCCGCTTGAAGATCCTCAGCTCGGAAAGGCTGCAGAGTTGGGTGCCCGCCTTCCGTGAGTAGCAAGGCTGTCTTCAAGCAAGTCCCTGTTTGTGCAAGTCCCGGCAGGTTGGCAATACGTCTGCAACAGACTTTTTAGTGTCCACAACAAAACTCAAATGACCCTGATGTAACCTGGGCCGCACGAGAGGTTGCCAAACTGCGTCTTGGCTAGTTCGAACGGCCCTACCGCGCTGAAGTTGGGCCCCACCACCAGGTGAACATCAAAGTGAAACTAAGGCAAAGCGTTGTTGGGAGCGCCTTGGCCTTCTGATGGTGGGGTCTAAGGACGCACAAGTCAAACCCCGGGAAAGTGACGTGTCACATGCAAGCTGTGGGCCACACCGATTGTGTGCTTCTTGGCTGCGCGCAGCTGTGGACTTTGCCCTGCGCGCCAGCGGTTTGTCCCCGAAACTGAATTCTGAGGGCAGCAGCATGCCACCTCGAAATGCATTTGTTTTTTCCGCAAAATTCACCACGTGCGCTTTGCAGGACAAAGCACTTCAGTCCGCTGAATCTCAACACAGAGAAGCCAAACGCTACTCGCCCATAGAGACATCTGACATGCTAGCAAGGCATCCCTGCTCGAAGAGATGCCATGAAAAAGAACAGAGCAATCGATTATGTTCGATTGTCCCGCTTGCATACTGCGATGTACGACTGTGCCCTTAAAAGGTGCACAAACATTTCGGCACAAACAGGAGCCAACTGGCTCTTAACTCAGCGTTCTTAGCTCTAAGCAAGACTCCTCTTTGGGAATCAGCAGGTGTTTTCTAACGGTTTATCTGAGCCATCCACCGCTGCAACACACCCATCCAACACCAGGATGCAAAGCCATGACAATAGCGTTAGGGTAATAAGAATGGCTCCTCGCACATGTGGCAGGTTCTCCAAAAATATGGCCATGAAAAACTGGAGAGCGACGCCCAGGGCTTGCCAAAGCTTGCAGTTGGCCATGGCAGGCACCACCTTGCTAGAGCCAGCGTAGAAGGTCTGCAGCGTCATGGGCGGGCCTGCCTCCCAGAAGGAGTCCCCCAGGGCAAAGACCGCCGCCAGCAGGAAGACCACCACCACGTCCAGCGCCTGGACCTCTGCGCCAGGCACGTGCTCCCAGGACGTCCCCCCGGCCACACGCCGGAAGTTGGTTGGCACGGGCCACAGTAGCTTCGCCAGCAGAAACCCCAGGACCAGCAGCGAGGCCGCGGAGAAGACCTGGCGCCGGCTCAGCCACTTCCTCGACAGCAGCGCGCCCCAAACCGCCGAGGCCGCAGAGTTCACCCCGTAGAAGGTGGCTATGACGAAGCCCGTGAAGGCCGGGCCGCTCACTCGGCACGTGACCTCCGCCTGGAAGTCCCCCAGGAAGGAGGCCAAGGTCATGCCGTTGGTCAAAATCAACGGGATCGTCAGGCGCATGCGAGCGTCCGTAAGAGCCAGCCGCCCTGTGTCCAGCAGCCCGGGATGACTGCTGTCAGCCGCACCTTCTACACTTGGCATCAGCAGAAAGACGAAGGCTCCCAGAAGGCATAAGATACCAAGGGTCACGAAAAGGACTTGCTTGGCCCATTCCGCCTGTCCCAATGCAAGTAAGATCACGGAAGCCAGGATGTTGCCTGACATGCCTGAAATCTGGTACATCGAGAAGAAGATGCTATTGTATCGAGTGGTCCACTTCTCTGCAGGCTCTTGCAACAGGTCTGCTGCCGCCGCAGCACATCTTGCGACGTAAGTATTCTGGCCCGTCCAGAGCAAGGGCGCGGCAACCCCAACCAGAACATTGAAGGCCACTGGAACTGCCCAGAGAGGGGATGGCGTGGCGGGAACTGGCAAAATGTTGGAAAGCGCCATCGCTGCATATGCAGCAGAGCACATCAGGAGCAGCACTTGCATTCCCATGCGCCTCTCCAAGAACGAGAGCACCGGCGGGGCGACAAGACACAAAGTGGAGAATGCAACGTATAGGCACGCCAGGTTCAGCTGACCCAGCCCCGCGTTCAGCGAGCTCTGCAGGCCCTGCGCCGCCTGAAAGCCCCCGAAGACCCCCAGGAAGCCCAGGCCCAGCAAACGCACTCCCCGCTGCAGCGAGGCTTCCGATGTGACGGCCATGGCTCGACTTGGAGTTTAGCGCAGCAACCAGTTGGGTCTGAACAAGAGGGGCCAGTTTCCTCACCCTCAAAACTTGCAACTCCTCACACTGTTCCAAAGCAATTCCAGCATTGGCAAGTTCATTGGCGAGGATACCAAGTCAAGGGCTCTTCCCATTGCCACACAAAGGAGCCGAGAAGTTGAATGTGTTTGCCTCAACATCAATAATTGCTGATCTGGTCTGAGGCGAAAAAGTTGTGGAACCGCGTGAAGAAAGCCTGCCAATCGCACTTTTTGAAGGCTTTGTTCCCAAAGGCATTTGGGTGAATAATAGGACAACTATTGTTTGACCTAGATGTGTGCGAGAGAATTGGCCTTATTATTTAGGGAGTAAATGCCGCGGATGGGGGCAGGGTGGAAAGCCTGCCAACAGCCAGAAGCCGAAATCGAAACTTAAGAAATCCCAAAACGGCTGGTTCTGCAGCCTTGTGACTGCTTGCACACGGCCAAGTTCATTCAGGAATTGCCGGATGCTGGTTTACATCTAGATCGATATATGTCATGTGCTGCAATTGAACCTTTAGCCAAAGGGAGGGGGGCGCGCCACATCTGCCTCACTTGCATGCGAACTTAGGGAGCTTTCAATGCGCATGGGAATGCTGCAGGCTACGCCACCTTCGCTGCTCCACAATCTGCCGAACGCGGTTCTCCTTCCGACTGTGTGAGCATGAAGGCACCGCAGGACCGCAGGCAGACAGTCAGTCAGCCAGTTCGGCAAGCACGGCGCCGGCATGCCGGCATGACTGCAGCAAAGCCACGAGGCGGGCCAAGGTTAAAAAATGATGCAATCAAGAGTCGCCTGCAGAGCAGCTGCAAGCACAATTTCTTAGCTCCATCTGCGAGGAAACTGTTCTGTCCTCTGAAATGCGTTGGTCTTCTGCCACCAGGTCCACAGCAAAGGGGCTCTTCTGCAGTTTCCTGGCACATGCAGATTCCGTTTTGCATCATCGCACCGAATACCAAAGCTCTAGGTGAATCAGTGCACGCGAAGCTCTCTGTCGGCCGGGTCCTGGCCCAGCGCTCATCCCGCTCCCTCTGTGAAGCGACTAAGCGGTCCAAATAGACTCGCCTTTCACCGGCGCTGTATGGCGCGGTTGGGCATCGCGGAATCGGGAGGGAGGGGCGAAGAAGCTTCCCATGCGGACGTCCTTTTCTAGCCTGTAACAGTCATCATGTATCAGTGTTATAGCAGTGTTGGGCAGTAAAACCAAATGCAAGCTGTCCGCACACCCGGCCCCGCCTGTCTGTCTTCAAGTCGTGCTTCACCGCGTCACGTTGGGCGAAGCGAATACTCATAATCTTTGTGGACTCTTCTCTTGCCTGTTGGCAGCCGCTAGCATGTGGAGAACAAGCGCTGGCCACCTAGCCCTAGTTTGTGGGGCAGCCAGCCCAGCAAGCATTGAGAAATTCAGTCCCGTCTGTTTCCTTCTTCCCTCCTCCCCCTCTGCTAGCCGCTACTAGTTTGGAAGTGGGTATGCACCTCAATTACCCTCTTGCTTCGCATAAGATACTTGTTTGGTGTCGCTGTTTGGGTCTGAGAAAGCATTGAAAGCAAACAGTACTTAAAACCATTCATCAGCCCCAAAATGAAATATACTTAAATATCATTGAAATGCTTGTGTTCTTGGAAGCACCTTGCAAATGATTGACTGCACGCTGTTCGTGAACGCACTTCCTTTGCGCCAAGCAAACTGCCATAGGAAGAGGCTCCAAGCAAAGCCAGAAGCGATAAGGTGCAACGTGCGAGTGGTCCATTCGGTGCAATTCCCCATTGTTTCGACATCTGTGGTCCAAAGTGCAGTTTCATCATGTCGGGGCGAAGGAGCCCATGGCTCTGAAAGGCAAACACCCACATTCCTGGCGAATCGGTTTAGGTGAGAAAGCTTGTGACAACACACCAGTCATGCACAATCCCACAGAGCGCTTAGCGAGCCTCCAAAAAAACGTTGTGCGCCTTGGCATGCCTTGAAACCAACCCCGCTTCCAGAAGCAACCCACAGCACTGTCCTTTGCGCACATCTCCAACCGCCGCAGCAAGCGCTCGCGCTCCTGCAATCACGGCGAACTAAGCCGCCATGCATGCGTGCCCACGCATGCCCGCAACTGCAATGGCCTTGACTGGCATTGCCACACCCGAACAGCATGCTTCAGGACTTTCGGAATTGAAAGGTGACGGGGATGCAAGTGTGTCTCCAGTCTCTTCCCGGCCCGCCTATCAGCTGTCAAAGCACCCCCACTTGATCGCCAAACAAAGAAAACACGTCTACAAGATCTTAAGCCAACAGCAGTGAAAAGAAAGAAGCGTGACAAATCGATTCCCTCCACCAGAGTCAACTTCCGCCTCGGTGCTGGAGGCCTTTGGCAGCAGGTGCGTCCTAGGCGCCGTTTGTCCAAAATGACACATGGGCCTTGCAATGAGACGCAATTCGACGCAACACTGGGGCGGGATACCGTATATGCACAGTGTGATGTTCCATTAGCCCATTTGCCCAATTCACTTCCCGAGTCTTGCAGGAGCAGCTGTTGGCCAGGTCGGTCAGCAGAAAACTGCGATCTGAAAATGCCCGTGCAGTGAAGATATGCACTCATGTATCGCATACAAATTTGGCTGTCTATGTTCATGTCTTTTTGACCCTACACCAATCAAAACAACACTAAACATTTGTAATTCGTTCGTATGTCTTTGCCTAATGTCCACCTCTCTGCTTTCTCTATCCCAACAGGCGGTGAGCCAGTAACTCAGGCACAACTACTCAGTCGCAACAATCACAGCCTCAGCAACTGACATGCCATACTGCAGGATCTGTGGCCTGAAAGAAGTGCAGCGAGGCGACGTGACGCCCGCGTACGTGGCAACATTTTGTTGAACCCTGTGTTCCCTCGAGAATCCAGATGTTCACGGAACATCTAATACATACAGTGACAGGCTATATTACTTTGCAATCCCGCTCCTTCACTCCGCAAAGGACTCAACAAAGCCTTTTTTCAGGCCGTGGCTGGTCCTCAATGAAGTGCTCGTTGACACCGCTTGATGCGGTATATGTCGACTCGCCCCTGGAACAGTCTGTGCAACTAAGCCGCAGCATGACCAACAGTCAAACACAATGGTGCTGGCCAAGCATCAGTCTTTGACTCAGCCTCATGTTTGCTCCACCTCTGTTGAGAAAAGAAGAAAATCACCCACACTGCCTCAGCAGCCTCTCGCGATGGGAGGCGGGACCTGCCTGGCAAATGATAGCTTCCACAATCCACAAGCGTGTTCATGAGTCCCATCCATGCATGAACTTCCACCCCCTGAAGTCCTTAAGGAGAAACTCTGCACCTCAGCAATTCTGCACTTCACAGGGCCGGCGCACCACATCATCCCCTCTATGTCGCTCAGAAGGCCTGGGCATTGAATCGGAATGCATCGCGAGACTCAAAACACTCCGAAATCAAGTTGATCAGTACCGAGGCATGCCACAAAGAGGGCACATGAGCCCTCTAAGGACCCTGCGACTTTACTGAGACTCCTGCCGGTCTGTGAGGCTGCCTGCTGCTGGCTGTCTCACGCCTGTCGGGGTTCCGCTGGCTTCCAACAGTGCCCGTGCAATGGCAAAACCTGGCGACGTAGCAGTGCGTGTCGTGTGGTCAGCTCCTTTCGTTGTGTTTGTTTGCTTCGCTTGTTTCTTTTGGCACGCCTGGGCCCAATCGCAGGGGTGGCCCCGGCGCCTGGCGGCGAGCGACTTCACAGCGCCAAATTCTCTCCACAAAGGGCGGGCATGGATCCTGGAAGTGCCACGGGTCTTACCAACTTTGGCAGGGCAAATGTTCCCTCCTCGCAGAAGAGCTTCAAGCAGACTGTCAAACAAATGTGGAAATAATGCATGTTTGGAGACCTCCGGCTTTACGTACATATGCTGTGTGAACTGGTGATTAAATGTATGTGCTGTCTACATATATGTATACCTGTACGTGCGTATGCCTGGTATGTCTGTGTGCCTGTACGTTTGTGTCTGCGCGTCCGTATGTCTGCGTGTCTGCCTGTCTGCGTGTAGCTTTGCATATTGACTGTTGGTCTGTCTCCAGAATATCCGTACGCCTCGTATGCCTGTATATGCATGTATGTCTGCGGACGTCCGCACGTATGTTTGTCTGCATGTGTGTGTGTGTGTGTGTCTGAACTTGCAAATTCATCTCTGTCTCTCTCGCTCCCTCTCTGTCTCTCTCTTTGTCTGTCTATGTCTGTCTCTCTGTCTTGTCGCTGGCAATGAATGCCCGTAAGGCTGTATGCTGGTATGTCGCGATGTGGCTCTGTTGGCTGTCAGTTTGTCCGTTTGCTTTTGTTTGTGTGAATCAGCAAGTCTCTATGTCTGTATGTCTGCAGGCGTGGATGCCTGCACATGTGCCATGGTCAGACTCCTTACAGTATGTGAGGCATGGAGTCAAACCAACTGATGCATGAGTTGTCCAAACCCCCTATTGAGGAATCCATGGCCACGTCTAGTACTCCCACGTTAAGGGGTGGCACATGGATGTTGATACGCTATATGTACATATAGATATACATGTGTGTTTGCGATTGTTTCTGCATGCATGTCAAAAGTATAAACATGTCGCATGTATATGCATGTACTTCACGAATATCCATGGCCAGGATCATTGCTCTGTGCGCCATGTCTGGCACATTCTGCCTTCTGATTCAAGGCGTTGAGGCTGCTGAACTCTGCTATGATGGGCCCCTCCATGGCCGCGACCCACTCGCTTGAGCCAAGAGCCGACCCAATTGCAGTCAGCCATTCTCAAACCCTTGTCAGCCCAATTGAGCTTCATCGCAAAGCGGAACACGACAGTACGAGCGCGAATGTCATGACAGTTTTTTTGTATAAGCGATGGGCGATGGGAGGCGAAACACGGTGTAGCCTAACTCCCGAAACAAGCTGTCGCAGACTACCAACAAGCTTTTTCTGTTTGTGGGTAGCTAGAAATCCCGTGAATTTAATCCGTGCAGCTGAATCTCAAATTTGGTCAGCAGCAGATACACTGATTGACCTGCACCTCACCTAGTTTTGACTTGCAATTGTCTCAGCTTGTGCCAAGCTCAATGCGCTTGACAGCATCCCCTTGACGTGAAGGCGGTACCTGGCATCTACAGCTTTTTTCGTCACTTTTGGCCAAGGCAGCAAAGGAAGGGTCCTCCATTTTGACACATGCCCTCTTGCTCCTGGCAGCTAGACAAACAGCAACCACGCAAAGAGACCTGCCTGGAGGCCAGCATTTCTGGACCACCCTGACCTCAGCACAGTGGCGCCCGCACAAACCCAACGACATCGGGGCCATCAGGATCATCAGGCCCTTCACTACAAGTGATCCATTTGCGTGTGCGGAACATCCCTCTCTCTTAGGATCGACTAACCCATGTCCAATTGCTGTTCACATGGAACCCTTCTCCACTTCAGCCTTCAAAGATCTCATTTGAATATTTGCTACTACCAACAAGATCTGCACCAGAAGCTGTTTCGCTTAGGCAACGTTGAACGCCCTTCATCGACTGAGTGGAATCTGGACACATGCCTGCGCCCTCCACTTCCTCCCAGGCAGCCTGGCTTCAATTGAAAGGTAGGGTCTGCTATGTTGGACTCATATCGCATTAATGGCTTGATGGGGCACATGCCTGGCTCTTTCAGGCTGTACCCCAGCTAACCTGTAACCTCACTCGAAGAGTACCTGACGCGCGGGGGTACCTGACGCGCGGAGGCTGGAGGCGGGGGGGCGGGGGAGGGGTAAGGCGGTTAGTTAGTTAGTTAGTTCGTTAGTTAGTTAGTTAGTTAGTTAGTTAGTTAGTTAGTTAGTTAGTTAAGTTAGGTAGTTAGCTAATTGGTTAGTTAGTTCGTTAGTTAGTGAGCTAGTTAGTCAGTTAGTGACGTAGTTAGTGACGTAGTCAGTTAGGTAGCTTGGTAGCTTACTTGGTTGGTTAGCTGCCGCACGGGCTCGGGAAAAAGATATGTCACGCGCATAATCGAGTTTCAGGGTACCTGACGCACGGAAAGGGGGTACCTGACGCGCGGGCGGAGGGAGGTACCTAAAGGGTGGGATCTTGAGAGCAAGTGCCTGACGCGCGGGATCGCCGCGGACCTGTAACCTCACTGAAAGAGTACCTGACGCGCGGGGGTACCTGACGCGCGGAGGCTGGAGGCGGGGGTAATGCGGTTAGTTGGTGTTAGGTAGCTTGGTACCTTGCTTGGTTGGTTAGCTGCCGCACGGCTGGGGAAAACGTACATCACGTGCGGGATCAAGTTTCGCGGCACCTGACGCGCGGAAAGGGGGTACCTGACGCGCGGGAGGAGGGAGGTGCCCAACGCGCGGGATATTGAGAGCAGGTGCCTGACGCGCTGCATCGCCGCGGACCTGAAGCTGGAGAGGAGGGGGGGGGTTGGTGGTTAGTTAGTTAATTAGCTAGCTAGCTAGATAGCTAGTTAGTTTGCTAATTAATCAGTTAGTTAGGTAGTTCTATAGTTTCTGGTTCGTACCTAACCTCTAACCTCACTCAAAGAGTACCGGACACGCGGATGTACCTAACGTGCCTATGCTGGGGGGGGGGGGGCTAAGGCGGTTAGTTAGTTAGTTAGTCAGTTAGTTAGTTAGCTACTTGGTTATTTAGTTAGTTAGTTAGTTAGTTAGTTTTACTTGTTTTTAGTTGCCCCACGGGCTGGGGAAACAAGTACGTCGCGTGCGGGATCGAGTTTCGCGGTACCTGACGCGCGGAAAGGGCGCCTGACGCGCGGCAGGAGGGAGGTACCTGACGCGCGGGATCGTGCGAGCAGGCGCCTGACGCGGGATCGCCGCGGACCTGACGCGCAAGGCTGGAGAGGAGAGGGGGGTTGGTTAATGAGTTAGTTAGCTAGCTAGCTAGTTAGCTAATTAATGAGTTAGCTGGATAGGTAATTCGAAAGTTACTAAGGTAGTGAGTTAGTCAGTTACTGAGTTAGTACCTAACCTGTAACCTCACTCAAACTCAAAGAGTGCCTGACGCGTGGGGGGCACCTGACGCGCAAGGGCTAGAGGCGGAGGGGGCGGGGGGGGGAAGGCGGCTAGTTCGCTAGTTAGTTAGTTAGCTAGCTAGCTAGCTAGCTAGTTAGTTAGTTAAATAGTTAATTAGTTAGTTAGTTATTTAGTTAGTTATTTGATGAGTTAGTGACGTAGTTGTTCCTTACTTGGTTGGTTAGTTGCCGCACGGGCTGGGGAAAAGTACGTCACGTGCGGGATCGAGTTTCGCGGTACCTGACGGGCGGAAAGGGGCGCCTGACGCGTGGGAGGAGGGAGGAACCTAACGCGCGGGATCTTGAGAGCAGGTGCCTGTCGCGTGGGATCGCTGCGGATTTGACGCGCAAAGGCTGCAAAAAAGAGTTGGTGGTTAGTTAATGAGTTAGCTAGTGAGCTAGCTAGCTAGCTAGCTAGTTAGCTAATTGATGATCGAGTTAGTTAGTTGGGTAGATCGAAAGTTACTAAGTTAGTGAGCTAGTCATTTAGTGAGTTAGTACTTAACCTGTAGCCTCACTCAAACTCAAAGAGTACCTGACGCTCGGGGCAACCTGACGCGCGGAGGCTAGAGGCGGTGGATGTGCATTTAGAGGGTGAGGTTGGAAAAGCGTTTGCAGAACACATTCTCTAGGCGCCTTATTTCGACGGCTGTTGCTTGCCGTTGCTCCAAACGTGGTCAATTGCAGGTGATGCGCGGGATGAGGGAGGCGCCCAACGCGCGGGATATTGAGAGCAGGCGCCTGACGCGCGGCATCGCCGCGGACCTGACGCGCAAAGGCTGGAGAGGAGGGGGGGCATTGGTGGTTAGTTAGTTAATGAGCTAGCTAGCTAGATAGCTAGTTAGTTTGTTAATTAGTCAATTAGGTAGTTCTATAGTTACTGGTTCGTACCTAACCTCTAACCTCACTCAAAGAGTACCGGACACGCGGATGTACCTAACGTGCGGATGCTGGGGGGGGGGGGGCTAAGGCGGTTAGTTAGTTAGTTGGTCAGTTGTTTGTTGGTTAGTTAGCTTTACTTGTTTTTAGTTGCCCCACGGGCTGAGAAAAAAGTACGTCGTGTGCGGGATTTTGTTTCGCGGTACCTGACGCGCGGAAAGAGCACCTGACGCGCGGCAGGAGGGAGGTACCTGACGCGCGGGATCGTGAGAGCAGGCGCCTGACGCGGGATCGCCGCGGACCTGACGCGCAAAGGCTGGAGAGGAGAGGGGGGTTGGTTAATGAGTTAGTTAGCTAGCTAGCTAGTTAGCTAATTAATGAGTTAGCTGGATAGGTAATTCGAAAGTTACTAAGGTAGTGAGTTAGTCAGTTACTGAGTTAGTACCTAACCTGTAACCTCACTCAAACTCAAAGAGTGCCTGACGCGCGGGGGGCACCTGACGCGCAAGGGCTAGAGGCGGAGGGGGCGGGGGGGGGAAGGCGGCTAGTTCGCTAGTTAGTTAGTTAGCTAGCTAGCTAGCTAGTTAGTTAGTTAAATAGTTAATTAGTTAGTTATTTAGTTAGTTATTTGATGAGTTAGTGACGTAGTTGTTCCTTACTTGGTTGGTTAGTTGCCGCACGGGCTGGGGAAAAGTACGTCACGTGCGGGATCGAGTTTCGCGGTACCTGACGGGCGGAAAGGGGCGCCTGACGCGTGGGAGGAGGGAGGAACCTAACGCGCGGGATCTTGAGAGCAGGTGCCTGACGCGTGGGATCGTTGCGGATTTGACGCGCAAAGGCTGCAAAAAAGAGTTGGTGGTTAGTTAATGAGTTAGTTAGTTAGCTAGCTAGCTAGTTAGTTAGCTACTTAATGATCGAGTTAGTTAGTCAGGTAGATCGAAAGCTACTAAGTTAGTGAGTTAGTCATTTAGTGAGTTAGTACTTAACCTGTAACCTCACTCAAACTCAAAGAGTACCTGACGCTCGGGGCTACCTGACGCGCGGAGGCTAGGGGCGGGGGGAGGGGGGGAAAGGCGGCTAGTTAGTTAGTTAGTTAGATAGTTAGTTAGTTAGTTAGTTAGTTAGTTAGTTAGTTAGTTAGTTGGTTAGTTAGTTAGTTAGTTAGTTAGTAGTTAGGTAGTTTGGTAGTTAATGAGTCAGTCAGTCAGTCAGTCAGTCAGTCAGTCAGTCAGTCAGTCAGTCAGTCAGTTAGTCAGTCAGTCAGTGAGTCAGTCAGTCAGTCACTCAGTCAGGCAGTCAGTCAGTCAGCCAGTCAGTCAGTCCATCAGTCAGTTAGGTAAGTTAGGTAGATAGTTACTTAGTTCGTTGTTGGTTGGTTTGTTAGCTGCTGTGAAATGGGGGGATGGTGCCTGACGCGCGGGATTGGGTTAGGTAGTACCTTGCACGCGAGATGGTACGTAGGCGCGGCTGGGGAAAAAAACAGGGAGGTTTAGTCGCCGCGCGGGCTGCCGGGACAGCTCTCATGTGCGGGATCTGGTTAGGCGGTACCTGACGCGCGGAGCATATGTTACTTAATTAGTGCGACAGCGAGTTCATTAGTTAGGTAGCTAAGTAGTTAGGTAGTTGGCTAGTTAGCTAGTTAGTTCATTCTTACTCTGCCGCAGGAAGTGAGGGGATAGCGCGTGGGATCGGGTAAGGCGTATGTAGTTCGCTAGTCCGTCAGGCAGTCAGTTTGTTGGTTAGTCCACCTGTCGCGCGGGGCTACTTGACGTGCGGAGGCTGAGAAAGTGGGGATGTTTAGTTGCCGCACGGGCTCATGCGCGGGATCGGGCTAGGCACTACCTGACGTTTGGGAACGTCAGGCGCAGCATCGACGCGGGGTTGGAAAGTGCCTGGCGGTGTACTTGATGGGCGGGATCGGGTGAGGCGGCGCCTGACGCGGCAAAGTGCGGAGGTGGCGGGGTAGTTAGTTAGTTAGTTAGTCAATTAGTTGGTTTGTTGGTTGGTTAGTTAGTCAGTTACTTAGTTAGTTAGTTAGTTAGTCAGTTCGTCAGTGTTAGTTAACTGAGTTAGTTGCTTCGTTTGCCAGTTGATAGTGAGCTGACACGAACTTGACCTGGGTGTGCAACTGACGCGCGGATCGCGATAAAGGGGGGGATAGTCGCGCGGATCGGGACAGGAGGGTCTCACACAGGGAAGGGGGAAAGTAACTGACGCACGGCAAGGGCCTGACGCCTGACGAGGGAGAGAACCTGACGTGACTGTGCGCGGAAAGGCAGCAGACAGGGGGGGGGGTTACCTGACGCTCACGCTAGGGCGCACCTGACGCGCGGACACCTGACGCGCGGAAGGGAGGATAGTAGGTCACGCGCGGATGGGGATGGGGGGTACCTGACGCGCGGAAGGAGGATAGTGGCGGAATGGGCGGTACCTGGCGCGCAGAAGAGGGGATAGTAGAGTGGTCAGGCGGTACCTGACACGCGGCAGGGCGAATAGCAGCTGACGACGAGGGCTGACGAAGGTGGGATAGCTGACGCGCGGATCGGGTCAGGGGGTACCTGACGCGCAGGGCGAATAGCAGCTGACGCCGCGCGGACGTGCTGACGGGCGGATTGGGATTAGGGGGTACCTGACGCTCAGGCTCCTTGACGCGTGGAAGGGAGGATAGTAGCTCACGAGGATGGTAGTAGCCGACGCGCGGATGGGGATGGGGGTACCTGACGCGCGGAAGAGGTAGTAGATCGGGTCAGGCGGTACCTGACACGCGGCAGGGCGAATAGCAGCTGACGACGGGATAGTAGCTGACGTGCGGAATGGGGCACCTGCCACGCGGAAGGGGGGATAGTAGCCGACGCGCGGAGGGTACCCTGACACCTCGCGGAAGGGCTGACGCGGGGATCGGGATTGGAGGGCACCTGACGCTCACGCTAGGGCGCACCCGCGGATGGGGATGGGGGGCACCTGACGCGCGGAAGAGGGGATAGTAGATCGGGTCAGGCGGTACCTGACACGCGGCAAGGCGAATAGAGAAGCTGACGACGTGCGGAAGGGCTGACGAAGGTGGGATAGTAGCTGACGTGCGGATCGGCACCTGACGCGCGGAAAGGTGGAGAGTAGCTGACGCGCGGATCGGGTCAGGGGGCGCCTGACGCGCGGCAGGGCGAATAGCAGCTGACGCCGCGCGGAAGGGCTGACGCGCGGATCGGGAGTGGGGGGTGCCACGCTCACGCTAGGGCGCACCTGACGCGCGGATACCTGATGCGCGGAAGGGAGGATAGTAGCTGGCGCGCGGATGGGGGTGGGCGGTACCTGACGCGCGGAAGGGGTATAGTAGCTGACGTGCGGATGAGGATGGGGGTTACCTGATGCGCGGAAGGAAAGTAGTAGCTGACGCGCGGATGGGAGTAGGGGGGGAACTGACGCGCGGAAGAGGGAGGTCAGGGGAGGGGGTACCTGACGCGCGGCAGGGCGAGTAAGGGCTGACGCGCGGACCGCCTGACGCATACCTGACGCGCGGAAGGGAGGATAGTAGCTGACGCAGTTCCGCGGATGGGGGGTACCTGACGCGCGGAAGGGGGGATAGTAGCTGACGCGCGGATGGGGATGGGGGGTACCTGACGCGCGGAAGGAAAATAGTAGCTGACGCGCGGGCTGGGGTACCTAATGGGCTCTTTTTTACGCTGCTTGATTTGATTAATCATGGCATGGCAAATTCCAACATTTCCAACCCACGATTGCAAGCAAACCAATGGCAAGTGCTGTTTTTCCGGACGCGTCCAGGCCGTTGCCGAGCTCTGCTGAAATGTTTAATTACTGGCTACCGCGCTGGCGCGCTCATTTTCTGGGGGGATGGCAACACATCGGGAAAGTGCTGGTCTGCGATGCTAGAAAGCAGCCCGGTGAAGCCTCCTGCTGCATGCCGCTCAGCAATCGATGCAGCAAGCCCTGGAGGAACTGCAAGGCCTGTGCAGCGTGGGGCCCCGAAAGAACCCTGAAACAAGATGGTCTTTCGCTGCAAGCAATTTCGCCAATAGCTGCACAGAAGATCCAAAAGGCAACATGCACAAAATGTTACGAGACACGGAGATGCACTCTCTTACAAGAAACTAAGTATGAGGGCTGTCGGCAGTCATGGCGCTACATGCATGCATAATAACCACCTCCATCCGCAAAGCTTGCTCACGTTCCTGGTGCATGGCGCTGTGCCCACACATGGACTTCCCTGAAGCATTTGAGGTGTGACCCGTGCATTCCAGCATCAAAAGAAGGAGGGGCAGGACTTTTGTGCACTGGGGCACACCGGTCTCCAGCAACCACTTCCCCAGCAGCTCCCAAGCAACAAAGTTCTGCAAATTTCACTCAGCCCCAACCTCAAACCTGAGCCTAGGGTTCTAAAAGATTCTGGCACATTCTGGTACCAGGGTCCTGCGGCATGCCAAGGGGGCGGAGGATTCCTGGCATGGCACCATGTCAGATATGCCAAAACACCGTGCCTGAGCATGGATTGGCCCACGCAAATTTTCCAGCCAAGTAGCTCAAGCAACCCCTGTACTGTTGCTCTCTTTTAAAGCAGCTGGGCCACACATTATGTAGAGACACCACAACGGATCCAAACTCTTGAGTGGACATCTGTGCCCTGGCCTGGTGCCTCTGGCCCACACCATGCAAAGCATTGAAACCTGCGGCTCTGCAAGCGCCGCTCTGTCACAGCGAGCGCTCAGATGTTCGATTCAAGAAGGCAAGCTTGCCGCTCACGGCGATTCAACATTTCACGTGTGCCACGTTGCAGCTTCTCTTGGACCCGAGCTCATCCTCTCCGCAAAGCGCGGCCTGGCAATCTGGCGGCACTTGCGCCAACGCGCCACATGCCAACCGTTTAAGCGACAACTGACCATGACTTCACCTATCAAACTCCTTTGCCCTCACTCTCTCGCTCCAATGCCTGGAGGGCTCCCAACAGGAACTCGGACCCGCCCGGCCGAATGGCTAGGGGCGCCTCTGACTCCTCGCAGGGCTATCGCACGGGAGCCTTGATGAAGGCAAATGACCCTGTCCAATCTACCAGACATCCAAATATGATGATGACATTCGACCACACGCATGAACGGCGTCTGAGCTTCCCCTTGCGGCCGCCTTCGCGCATGCATGACTCCCTTTGTGATGTACCCTTCAATGACTTGGCCATGTGCCATCTTACGAAATGATGTCGGATGTTCACGCATCACATGATTTCAATGAATCACATGTTCACATCGCTCATATCTCTCCATTGGACGGTTTGCCTCAATGGGCCTTCAGCCTTCCCGCCTCCAAGAGGCCCAGGCGGCTTTGCAGTGACGACCGTTGGGTCAAGGTTTCCACTGCGGCCTCACGGAGCGGGGTCCAAAGAAGCGAGTGTCAAGCTTGGAAAGGGGCGGGATGGCCGCAAAGGCAAAATTTCAATGGCAAGGTCTGAAAGCTTCACGCCGATGGATTCCGTTGCCCGCTAAACTCTTGAATTCTGAAGTGGGTCCATGTAATCGTTTGCCGATTTTGTCCTGAGCGTATGTCATTTATGTGTGGATGGGGGTCGGATTCTCGAGGCAGAATCAGGAAAGAAGGCACAGTTTCAGCGGCCGCCAAATTCGCGGCGGACCCTCGCGTCTTTGAGTCCGATACGAGGAGATCCTGCGGGGACTCGAAAAGTTCCAGGAAATCAGCCTGAACAAGTCTGCTGCCACTCAAGCGCACTTACGGTCCAGTTTGGCGCCAAGAATCAGGCATCTTTTTCCTGACAGGGAACGCTGCTGCTGCAGAACGCTCTGCTCATGAATTAGGAGCCGGGTGCTCCACTCAGTATGTGGACCAACAGCATTGTTCCCGTCCCAAGAACTGGCCACTCTCACTTTGGCACTTTGGTTGGGAGTAGCCTCCCGAGCAGGTCGCCTTTTGTGGCGAGCAGCAAGTGTCTTTGCCAACGTACTTCCAGTCGCCCTGGCAATAAGACTGGCTGCCTTGGTTGCATGTGGGCTTCACATTCCACGCAGCGCCCGACACGCAGCACTGTCCGTTGCCGATGTATTGGAAGTTGGTCCCCGAACAAAAACTCTGGCTGCCCTCGGTGCAGGACACCCAGTTGGTGCTGCAGCACTTGCTGTTCCCCACATACTTCCAGCCAGGACCTCGGCAGAATGCTTGGACACCCTTCTGGCAGGTGAGCCACACCTCCGACGAACTGGTGACACAGCACAGCTCATTTCCCAGGTACTGGAAGCCGTCCTCGCTGCAGAATGACTGGCTGCCCTTGTCGCAGGCTGCCCACTCCGTGGTGCAGCAGTTGGAGTTTCCCATGTACTTCCAGTTGCCGTTGCAGAAGGTCTGCACTCCCTTCTGGCAAGTGATGTAGGCGCCAGTCTTGCAGCATTGCCCTTGGCTGTACTGCCAACCATCCCCACTGCAGAACGTAGAAGAAGAAGCAGGGGTACATCCACTTGCAAAGGTGGTCAATGAACCGGCAACACTCTCATTGGTTTGAACATTGATCCTTGCCCCGTGGGCACACCAAACCAATGCGATGGCAGCCCAAGTCCGTGCCATGCGGGGGCAATGCTCCATGGATCTGAATTGAGGCAGAGTGAAATTGCAGCAAAGCTGGAGCCAGCGGCTGGTTGTAGGGCTTTGTTGGCCAGCACAAGTGACTCACAGTCAGATGCCATAC